AAAAGTCTTATATTTAACACCTTCCACTATTGAAATATTAATGAAAGTCTAAATTTTAAATGATTGCGAGCAATTCCTTCACATCCAACATGAGATATCAGAAAATTTAAATTCAAGACTATGAACGAACTAGGAAAACAATTATAGTGCAGTGGATTAATAATTTTTTACATCGTTTATTTATTACAATCACTGCAGTATGACAATATTCGTTCAGTTGTTCAAGAGTCGAGCGCAGTGGATCACTGAAGACACACCACGCATTGAAGTCTCCATTGTGAGACAGGTTTCCATATCCTAAGTGAAGCTTATGATACAATACAGTGCTCTCAGAAATATTTCGAATTTCTCATCAACAACTACTTTTTAATGAATCAGTCTTAAATTATAGTTACGAACATTACGAATTACTGAAAAATAATTATAATCGTTTGGTTTTATACTTATGGGTTGAACGACTGTTACAATCGATGCATCTCAGCCATTTACGTCGTAATACATGTTCAACAGACTTCAGTTGAACAAATCCAAGCAAAAGTGCAAGAGACACGAGAGCACGGTGCTAACGAACGCAACAGCGACGTCGAATTCATCCGGTGCTTCGGTTTGCTCAGCAATTAGCTGGCCTAGCCGTGAAGGATTCACGTGTTGCCGCGGCTCGCGCGTTAGACGCGGCCGGCCATCTTTTTCTTATTCGCGTTTTCGTGGCCAACCGGACACGGAAAAATTCCCCGTTTTGAGTAAACGGCGTCCGCGGGTTCAACGGCCAGGATTTTTCCCGTCTCGAGACGCCGTCGAAGATGAAGAGTGAAGTGGCCGTGACGACAGGCTTCGCGGAAACGGCGATCACCGTCGTGAATTTTCTTTATTTGCATGGCAGTCGGCGCCGGCTTTTCTCCCTTCGCTTCGACATTTTTCTTCATTTTTCATGGATCAAAAGATTTATTCATCATTTCATGATTTTTTGTAGTATTTCAAATATTTTTATTAGCTAGTAGTCGTTCGACAGCGGATGATCTTCGACGTACGAGGATTTGAATTGAATATTCGAAGCACGTGGGAAGTTTCAAAACCATTCGATCGATGTTTTTTTTTTATTGTTTGCCTGCTAGTATGATAAGATTGATAAACCATTCAGCGTAATTATACGATGATTATGGAATAAGTAATTGAACAACGAGAGCACTGGAGGTTTCCATTTTCTCCGCAAGTTATTTAGAATTTGCTGCACGAGTTTCAAAATGTTTATATCAGCAATGTCCGTGTGACTCTTCCGATTATACGGATTTCAGTTAAGTGGAACGGATCATTTCTGAATTATAATTTCCGTTCTAGGCTTTTGAGAAAAGTTTCTTGATTACAACTAATCGACCACGATCTCAGTCGATAATTTAATTCCCTCCGCTCGAGAAAGGTTAATCTCATGAAATATAGACAATTGCTGAGCAGACAAGGTTCGTTAAGGAGATCCTCGATCGCCTTGATTAACGCGTAACGTCGAAATCCGCAGGCAATAAATTAGCATCGCGATCCCCGATCTTTTATTCTCGGAGGCAGAGTGCCGCAATTAACATCCACGAGAGCCTCGCTCGATAATCACGACGCGGAGAGTTCCTAAATCATTGTTTACTGGCGCCGATCCAGAGAAAGAGATCGACGACGTTCCGACGTCTCGCACGAACGAGGAAGATATACTGAGTGTCTTAAAACTGTTGGTATAAACCGAAACAACTTGAATCCACTCAAAAAGATAAATTGAGGAAGATGAATCATATTTGTTTGCAAATCGTATTAAAAAATTGATAAATTTTATATTTTAGACAGATGCACGTGTTATTGAATATTAATCAATCTGCCTATTATTTATTTATTGCGTCTGTTTCGAACATGATTTTTTATTAATCGATTTATTTGGAAATACTGAGTAAGAAAAAAAATGTTATTCTGTACTTTTCAATTGGTTTTTTGATAGACTCTCCTGGTTCCAGATTTTACTGAGGGACACCCTGTATAATAGATGATCGAACGTCGCGGCAAACGAGATATTCCAATTCGATCTCGCCGGGAACCTTGACCGAGAATAACGGTACAGAACGATCATTACGAGATCGTAGATAAACGATCTTTTCAGCTTCTTAGGCAGCTGTTCTGCATAGCTGATCGAACGATTTGGAAGATGAAACGGTTGCACCAGAATCGGTTTGTTCCGCGGTCGTGATCTACGGGCCGATGATCTTACAATCTTTTGCTAACACATTATTCTTGAATATTAAATTACATAAAAAAACACCAGTATCAGTCTTCCAAGAACAAGGAAACAAGATAACGATCCATATTCTAAAGAATCCAACGCGTGGCAAGGAAATATTTATAAACCACTTAATAAATGTTTTCAACGGTAGAACTACAAAATACACTAAGAAAGGAAGTAAGAATAAAATGAAATCAATCTACGTTGACAAATATACAAACCCAGGTAGTGTTACTCTTGTTTCATTTTGCTTCAAGTATTAAATAAAATAGTGATGGCTGACCCTTGTCTTTCTCATATCTAAACGCTTTTATTCGTCAGATTCTATAACGGAAGTTTTACTATAGAGTCAAACAAAAAATAGCAACCGATCGACTGGAAAATATCATTCGAGCAGAATTACAACGTTTGGAAGGAAGAATCGGCTAAAGTGTTTTTCAATCGGTTCCGAAAAAACTTTGCGCAAGCTGTAGCCATCATTCTGCGTCTTTGACGAGGATGCCAGTAAAAGAAACACAGGTCTAATTGATTGGTTTTCATCTGTCCTCATCTCATTTTCAACACCAGCGTACTGTTCGTCGATTAGGTTGGACATCAACCAAAACTATAAACAAAACACTCAGTGAGAAACTCATATTATCCCTGTGGCGTCTCGCATTTTCATCAGAGTTGCACAGTGGGTACACGATTCGAGCGTTATATTGTTGCCAGGCGAGTGGAACGCAAATTTTCTGGCAAAGAAACAGTAGCAAACGTCGCATTAACTAATTGTAATTTTATAAACTTAGGTTCAGTACACAACATACTATAGTCCGTGTACCACTTGATGGCTAAAGAAGGTTCAAGTGGTCGGTTTCATCTTGTCTCGTCTCATTTCCGATACTAATTTGCTATTTCAATACAGTTACACGAAACCAATCAAAACTATAAACAGAGCACATAGTCAGAGACCCTTCCAGTTTCTGTGCCGTCTCAGTGGCCATCAAGTGGTAGACCATGTCCACATTTGTCTTTATTTCTGTCTTAGCCGTCAGCTGATCAGTGAAATATTTCTCCTATTTTCGTTGGTCCGCGGAATATTTCTCCCAGTCTCGCCGGTGCGCAGGTGTAAAAAGATTTCAGAACGCTGTGCTAGACGAGGACAAAGAAATCCGCGCCTCGGCAGAAACGATCGCGCGCGAGGTCGCGGCACACGCTCGGGGGATACGAACGAGCGAATAGGTTGAGGGTCGCGAGTGGCCGTTGACCCTGGGTATATACCTGCGCGCGTACCGGAGTGGCGAGTGCCGGGCTGCACGACCACCTAGGACAGACTAGAATCCACATTGGTAATAGCTTCTCTAGTCCGCCGATCTTCCCACTCGTAAAAACAAATATTTATGGATGGAATACGTCGAGGAGACGCGACCTGTGAAGGGACCGAGTGGCGAGTTCGCGGATGAGCCCTTCGAGCCCTCTCCTGTTGGCCCCTCCTGCGTCCGCGGGTTGTTAACACATTATCAGCTAATAGGGGAGAACTCCTATTCCCCTTAGCAACCGGTTGTCTTTTGAGTTCTTTCATTTTTGTTCTACTTTACTGTTAGATTTTTTGTAAACAAGCTGTGGAAAATAAAGGATCATTGGTATTAAATCATTGTTGATTAAATGGGGTGATCTTCTATTTATCTTCAAAACGGGTTGTCTTTTAAGTTTCTTAATTTCTTTTCTATTTTATTGTTAGTTTCATGGACAAATTATGGAAAGCGGGGAATCATTGGTGTTAAATCATTGCTAATTAAATGGGGAGATCTTCTGTTTACCTTGGCAACGGGTTGTCTTTTGAGTTCTTTGATTTTTTTTTCTATTTTATTGTTAGTGTTTTTATAAGTATGTTATGGAAAATGAAGATTCACTAGTATTAAATAATTATTTATTATTTATCACTTTGATTGCTATGTCATATGAATTCGGGTAACGAATAGTTTTTTATGTAGATCTAGACACGTATGTGTAAGATAATATATTGATTAATGAAAAATTTGATAGTATCTAGGAAATGCAAAAATATTACGAGGAGGATTTGCATAAAAAATCTTGAATTTTCAGTGTTCCGTTAAAAAGGTTGTTCCAACTGTATATGATTTAAATAAATTGTGTTTCAGCAGTCAGTGTGTTGAAACGTATACAGATACGTCTACCGATTATAAGGCATCATAGGCTTACTCCATAGTTCTTGCATTACCACTAAATTATTCGAACAAAGATTCACATTCTCCCATAAAACGAAGAATTAATTAATTAGTATTATCTCAAAGCACCTGTTTAGCTGTTAATAACCGCCAATAAATGCCATTTCGAATCCCCGAGATTTAAAACACGCCCGAGCCTCGTGGATTCAGGTTACTCACCTGCGCGCTTCGACCGATAAAGTAATAAACATTTCTCTTGTTACGCTCGATAACAGAAATTTCTCGGAAATCCGATAGAATTAACGATCACCACCGGCGGTAATTGTCGTTTAGCCGCCGGCGACATTGAGGCAGTCGGATAATTTAATCGGCGTTATAAAATTACCTAGGATCGCATGAAGAAGCGCGTTGGTAAGGAATCCTTGAGAGTCAGTCCTCATTCCCGGAGCGTAACGCTTTTTCTCGCCGGTCGATCGTCGAGAGACACGCGTTCTCGCGCGATCGAAACGCGGCCCGATGATCGATGGGCCGATCGAAGCCAGCCATTTCTCATGGGTTACGTCACTCGCGACTCGTTGCAGTACCCGGCCGGACCGAGCAGCGAACTTTTGCCGGAGGACAGAGGAAACGATTACGCACCCGCCGGGACACTTCCGGTGAACGCGGAAAAGATCTCCGCGCCGGCGAAGGACCTGCTCAAACGGTTACTGCGACCGGACCCCTGTCTCAGGCTGAGATCCATTCTGAGTCTCCAGAGGATCGCTTTCTTCATGGGCTATGATCTACAGAGTTACATGGCGAAAAAGGTAACTTTTTCTTTGTTGCATTATTATAAAATTTATAGAGTAATTTCATACTGGGGTGCCGACATTTTACATATATTTTTACATTCATAGTTATAAATCATCGATTATGAAATATAGATGAACAAGTTAGATGTTTAACTTTTCTCAGTGGAAAAAGAATTAAATAGGAAAACAAAAATTGAGAAGCTGATTAATCAGGCAATGTTGGAATTGACATTAAGTTCAATTGAAGAAAGGAGAAGGCAATATTTTTAATTGAATTTTAAAACATTTATAGTATATGAGTTAGTATATGAGTTGAGTTTAATGATGTGAATTTTGTAACTGTCTTGATTAGTAGAGTGAGTCATATATTGTTAGTGATTGTAAGAATGATATCAAACTAATATCAGACCTATTAAATTTCAATACTATTTCATTTCTTTTATAATAAAATACTTAACTAATACTGTTTTAAAGTAAATATAGACTCGTAATTGAGAAAATAGTTTATACATATCGTAATTGATTCACGAAAAATTTCCCTTTTTAATTGGATACTCATCTTTCACTTAATTTCAAATTTTCATTGATTCTAATAGTAGTCTTACCTTTCATATAGGATTCGCCCTTTCGACTACTAGGACGCAAGGTCCAGACTCACCAGGAAAAAATAACCAAGGAGTTTTCGAGTTTCGATACTTCGTTTGGCGACAGCATTTCTCGCGCTGACGATCGATGATGATATTCCGCGCAACTAGTCGTTCCATTTAACTATATGTCAGCTGCTGCGAGAACAATCTCAATTAAAGCAAAGAACGATTCGTTTTGAAACGTTCGCCAGACGTTGTTTGTAACTTTGTTGCCTACATCGAGCAACGCCGATGCCATCCGTTAGTTTTGTACGAAGATTCCTCATATTTTGCGTAAGATTTAGAGTTCTAATTTTGATAAGCCTCTAAACTTTTCATTAAGCCGCTCGAACTGTTTTTTTACTTCGATCAGGTGTACAGCGAATTTCAGCGGCTTTCGGTGTGCAAGACAAACTGTCCAGCTTATGTGTCGCAAGATGTGAGTCTGTAAAATGTATTCTATTATAGATAAAAATATATTCTGAGCATCATAAAGTATTATTAGTTTCGTGTTCTGTTGATCGTTTTCCCTTTTCATATTCAACTAAGGTTACGGTGAAAATTCTATCATAGAACGACTTTTTATGTTTTTCTATACTTTACATAAAGACAATGAAGTTAATCTTATAGATATTGTTATTAGAAATTGTAAACTACGACATTATATTTAGGAATACAACGACTCGTTTCAGTTCCGTTTTTCTAATATTTTGTTTAGAAGATTTATTGGATTAAAGAAAATATTATAATTGAACAGACCGTCACCGAAATAAGCGCTAATGTAAGCAAATGTGTTAATATCTAAGAATTCCTCATACACCCTAACAATCTGTGGGAAAACCGAATCACCTAGCAGTCACGTCAAGGACCAACAGGTAAAGGAACGTTCATAAACGACAACAGTGGTTTCTCAGTTTACAAAAGTTTTAATTTCTTTAAGAATAGTTAACAGTATTTTTGTTACAGTATTTCATCGATAATACAATAAATTGCGGTAAATCGTAGTGCGTACAAACTAACAACAAAAAAGAAAAATAGGAGAAAAGAAAAACAGAACGGATCTGTGGATCGAATAAACGCAGCGTATTTTTCGATTTTTTGTCTCAC